CATGGCACAGCAGACCTCTCCTGACCCGCCCGCTGCTCCCCTCAGCAGTGTACTTTGTCAGTCTGTTTGTTCTGCTCCCCACTCTGTCTCTGGTGCATCCTCTCACTGCCCTTTCACCTCTGGCCTGTACCCCAGTTCTGAGTGCATGAATAAGTAAATCTTATTTACTTAGAAGAAGAAGAATTCAAAAACACTGAGAAGTCCTGGGCAATATGCCACATTTTCTTTTTCTAATTGAGATATCTATAGCACATTAACTAATTCACATGACAAAAGTCACCATTTTAATAATTTCCAGTGCACAATTCAATGGCACTTATTACATTGAGAATATGTGCAACCATCACTTTACTAGTTCTAAAACATTTCACCCCATGAAAAGGTCACCCCTACTTATTAAGTAGTCACACCCCGTTTCTCCAACTCCCCACCCCCCGGCCTCTAGCAATTAATAATCTGCTTTCTGTCTCTGAATTTGCCTATTGCATGACATATCTACAAAAATAATCATATCTGTTTCATCTTCTTGTTTGTTTCATCTTTTTCATGAACTATTTCATTGAATCCTCATTAACTGTACTATCAGAAGGATCTTAATTTTCCCTTGAACAGATGAAGAAAATGAGACCATGAGAAGGTAATTTAAGTGACATTGCGTAGAAGAAAGCAAGTCATATGCTGCACATCCATCAGTCATTTTCAATGACTAGTTAGTCACCATAGAGCCACCCCTGGCCCACACAATACATGAGGCAGGAGGCAGCCTGCCTTTGCCCCTGCGCCTGGAGCACAGGGAGGGTCTCAGCACCCACAGCCCCTCACCCTGAGCCCTGGTGCAGTGAATAACCTCCACACCCTTCTCTGGCAGCCCTGGCAGCCACGTGGTAGGCTACATGCTGGCGCTGGAGACAGAGTTCCTGCCACCGTACAGCTTTCGTTCTGGCAGAGAAAACCAAAAAATGCACAAAAGTAAATTCTTTCTGATTAAAAAAAAAGTAAAATAACCAAAAAAGTAAAAACCAAAAATGTACAAGTAAATTCTTTCTATAAAAAAAAGTAAAATAGTATTGTGTGATAGGGACTGGGGGGGGACTGCTATGAATGTGAAATAGAAAAAGAGGGGACTCGCTGAAGAGGACTACAAACTGTGATCTCAATAAGAGACAGAAGTCGGCTCTCCCAGGTGGCGCAGCGGGTTGGAACGCAGCACTGCACAGCTGGCTGTGGCTGCTTCAGTGCGAGTTCGATCCCCAGCCCCGGAGCTGACCCCCATGGCACGGCAGACCTCTTCTGACCCGCCCGCTGTTCCCCTCAGCAGTGTACTTCGTCAGTCAGACTGTTCTGCTCCCCACTCTGTCTCTGGTGAATCCTCTCACCACCCCTGCACCTCTGGCCTGTACCCCATTCTGTATGCAAAAATAAGTTTTTTTTTTTAATCTTTTTTTAAAAGGACAGAAATCATGCCAATTGGAGGGAAGAACATTCTAGAAAGAGGGTACACCTAGGACAAAGATGGCACGGTAGGAACATAACTGTCCTGTTCAAGCAACAGTGAGGGGGCCGATTTGAAGTGCAGTAAGTGGGAAGAGGTGGGGAGGGGCCTGCCAGGACCCCCTGGGGTCCCTCTCTCAGTCAGGTGGGAGGCCGTGAGGATTTGAATAGAGGACTATGAAGAATGGACTGAGGAGGTGAGGGCGAAAGCAGAGAGGCTGATCTCCAGGAGGGAGGAATGCGGTGGCGAGGTCAGGTGGAGAGGGGAAGACGCTTAGACGCTGGATACATTTTGAAGGAGAATCCGGCCTACCTGCTGACTGGATGAAGGGCTTGAGCAAAAGAAAGCAACCAAGAATAACTCCTAAGTTTTGACTTGAGCAACCAAAAACGTGGGCTGTGGGAGGCATTGAAAGGGACAGACCTGGAGGGCCGTCAGGTCCTCAGCTTCAGCATGTTGTTCAGGAGGCACCGGAAGGATGTCCAGTCATATAGTAAGCCGGCAGTGGCATACCCTAGCCTGAATGCAGAGGAGGTCAGGTAAGGGTTAGACATAGAAATGCGAGAGTCAACAACCATGGATGATTTTTAAAGGCAGCCACCCAAGTGACACCCTCCAAGTTGAGTAGCGCAAGAAGAGTGTGAGGGCTGAGCCTGGACCCACCTGGGGCAGAGGTGGGCTGGGAGAAGCAGGCAAGGGCACCATCGGCCTGGTGGGAGGCAGCCATGTGACAGGTGCCCTGGGGGTCAGGGAGGAAAAGTTTCAAGGACAGTGGCTCGGTCAGCTGTGTCAAATGCTGATGATAGGTCAACTGAGATATTGACCGAGAATTAACTTTGAAAGTGGCCACATGAAGGTCAGTGGTGACCTCAACAAGAGCAGGCTTGCTGGTATGTTGGGCACAAAGGCCTGACTGGCGTGATGCCTGAACATGGGAGCAGGAGAGGTAGAGAAAGCCCTTCATGGAATTTTGCTGGAAAGGGGGCAGAGAAATAGGACTGGCACAGGAGGCAGGTGTGCAATTGAGGGAAGGTTATTCTTTTAAGGCTAGGAGCTGTAAGACCAAGTGTGTATGCTGGTTAGAATTATCCAGAAGACAGGGGACTCTGACAAGGAGGAAGAGACAAGGAGCAGTGAGAAACTAAGGGATGTGAGGGTCACTGCAAGGGCGGA